CAGTGGCTGTGGAAGGAACTGGGGAAGGGCACAGTCCGGCTGGGCCTCCAGAGGAAGAGCCAGGGCCAGCTCCTCTTCATCCTAGGGCACACAGGGAGGAACAGATAAGGGAGCAACACAAATTACGTGAGTTACGGGGGAGAAGAGGGCCCTGATTCCCTTCATTAGCTGCAGCTGGGAAAACAGGATTTAAAAAGGGTGAGCCATATACGAGTATTGGTCTAGCAAAAGTTTTGTATGCTCTAATTAGCAATTTGATATTTCCAGAGGAGAAGCTTCGTAAGATTAGATTTAAAACTCTTAATGCCTTTTTGGCAATGCTGTTAACAGTGAGCTCTGGTGCTTAGGTCATTTGATATGAGAACTCCAAGGTCCTTGACAGAGTGACGATCAGCAACAAGGTCATATCCGCATAGTTTGTATTTGGTGTACTGATTTTTTTTTTACCAATGTGTAGGACAGAACATTTGTTGGTTGAGATTTGGAGTTGCCAATTGTTTGACCAGACACATAATCAAGGTAGCTTTGAAGGACAGTAGCATTGACGGTGGTGTTGAATAGTTTTATGTCATCCACAAAGAGGATGCAGTTGCTTATAAGGTGATTGCAAATGTCATTTATATAGAGTATAAAGAGTGTGGGTCCTAGAACGCTGCCTTGGGGAACACCGCTGTTAACTGGAGCAGGGTTTTATACAGCGCTCCCTATTTTTACTATTTGTTGCCTGTTTGACAGGAATGCAGTAATTCACTTATGAAGGGATCCAGAAATGCTGTAAGAGTTTAGTTTTAACAGTAGTTTGTCATGTACCACTAAATCAAAGGCTTTGCAGAAGTCTATGTAAATTGAGTCGATAGCTTTACCCTGGTCAAGTAGAGTAGTCCATATGTTTTTGCAGTGTAGGAGTTGAAGATTGCAGGACAATTTTTTCCTGAAACCAAATTATTTTTTGGAGAGTAGGTTGTTTGTCTCTAAGTAGAGAGTGATGAATTGGTTAATTATTGATTCCATGACTTTGCAAGTGACACAACCCAGTGAGATTGGTCTGTAGTTTTCAACCAGGCTGGAGTCACCGTTTTTGAAGATAGGGATGACCGTAGCTAAGGACCATAGGTTTGGTAAGGAGCTGATTCTGAATGATATCTCATAAATAATGCTTAGGGGTTCTGCTATGGCAGAAGAGAGCTTTTTTTAGAAGTATGCACATAATCCATCGGGGCCAATAGATAGGGATGGGTTTAGGTTATGTAGTGCCTTTTCTACATTATCTTCTGTAAAGTCAATATGTAGTAGGTCATTACAGTTAGTTGTGGTACGACTAGGAAATGTGGGGCATGAACCATTGCTGTTTACAAAGACTGAACTGAAGAATGTGTTGAAGAGATTGGTCTTAATGGCTTAATGGTTGCAGTCTTTCTCATTTGGTCCTTTTAGGGGTGGGATGGCTCTTGAGTCTTTAAGTTTGGTGTTTACAAAATTGTAGAAGGCATGGGTGGATATTGTATGTGGGAGGTTTTCCTCTTGCTTGCAGTGGTAATTTGTGCATTCTTCTTTTATCTGTCAGCATAAGATGTTGTATTGGTTTTTAAAGTTTGCTACGTAGCTAGTTTCATTTTTTCGCCATAGTGATCTTTTTTTAAATTGAAGTTTCCTTATTGTTATGGGTAATTTGTTTTTTTGTTTTGTTTTTGGGGGTTACTACTGGTACATATAGTTTAATGACTCTTTCAAGTTCAAACAAGGATGCATTATAATGGTCTTTTGTAGTATTACACCTAGAGAACAGAATGTGCTAATCAAGAGATGATCTATGACATCATAGTTGGCTTTTTTGAAGTTGTATTTTGGGGCTCTATCATTATGATCTTCTTTCTTTCGATCATACTGTGGTCACTGTTTGAAAAGGGTTCTTGTATTTGCAGAAGATAAGGTCGAGGCAGTTGTTGAGTCTAGTGTTGTTAATTACTAATTGATCCAGTCCCAGTGTAGTAATGGCATTGTACAGGGTTGCATGTATGGGTCCGCATTCATTTAGGGTCCAATTTATATGTACTTTGGGTTCGGACTGAATTTCTTCCCTTTAAAAACTGTTCTTGGGAGAGTTTTTTCTCTAGCTGATGATAACTGGACATTGGGGGCCAAGCTGGAGGTATTAAAGGGACTTTACCTACTTTTGTGACTTTGTTGCTTTTGTGCCAAGCCTGGGTCATCACAATTTTGATTACAATTACCATTGCTTACATATATATATACCCGTACTTCACTACAAACAATGTGATTGGGCTTAGTTTTGGGGTAAGAAAATAAGGGGAAAAAATTGTGCCTCTGCCTACCAGCATCCATCTGGCTAGTGTCCTGTCAGTGTGTAAGTTGAGGGCTGTTTGGAAACTGAAACAGTATTTGCTATGTGAGCAAGGAGACAGCAAGAAGCCTGGGCGTGGCTTAGCTCAACTGTTCTGTACTAAAGCTGTTTGGTGCAGTGAAACTAAAACTGAAACAAACTCCTCTCCTCTGCTTGTGTTTTGTATTTGGAACAAATTTCTTTTCAGGTGGGGAGGGGGAGGAGAACTTCTTAGCACCAGAGCATGTTAAAAATAACATGTGAAATACTAATGCTCTGATAGTCATTTCGAAAAATCCTTTCTTAGTGAGCACCTAGAAGCCAAGAGGAACATATGTGCCAAATTTCAAGTTTGTAGGCTATACAGTTCTGGAGATTGTGTGATGATGCGTGAGTGGTATTTTGCTTTTATATATAGAAGATTCATCCTTATATACAGTGTCTAAAACTTCATGGATATGTTTTCCAGGTCCTCCTCTGGAAAGTTGCTTAAAAGTTTGCAAAAGATTTTCTTGGGAGATAAAGCCAAATCCCAGCTCAGTATTTCTGATCTAATGATCTAACTTCTAATGAGGGTGTTATTTAATCAGAACTCCCAGAAAGTAAGAGAATTTTTCACACCACGATGCAAAGAAGTTAGTCCATCAGAGTTAAGTCTCCTATTTGGAAGTTGGTATTCACGGTGCAGGCATACTCATAAACCCCATTATATAACCTTGCTCGGAATACTGTTTGTGCACACGGAAGAACTTTTTTTTAAATCGCCACGAAGAGGCAATATCCTTCCCTATGCTATTAAGCTTTAAAACAGGATGTGCTATTTTGCCAGCCGCAATTAAGCCAAATAAACTGCTAAATGCCGGCCACAGTGAATACCATTTAAAAAAACAACAACAGGGATAATTTGTTCGTTCAGATTACTTTCAGATGAAGCGTTTATGGTAAATTTGCCTTATCCTCAAACGTGTATTGTGTGGAAGGGGAAAGCTGTCATGTTCCATTTGTAGGCATTCTGGATTTCTTCTCATACGGTGTTATATTAAGGGGTGGGGGTGGGGGAGGGGGAGGGGGAGAATCGGAACAGCTGCAGCATTTTGCCCAGAAACGCTAAGAATCGCTTGGCTAAAAGCAGGTCTGCATTTGTGTGAAATCAGGATGGGTTCTTTTTTTTAAAATTATTATTATTATTATTTTTACTTCTATTTCAGGAGTAAAGAAGGCTTTATCTCCCTTCAAGGCTACTACTGCAGGGAAGAGCTGAAAACGCTTCTCCTCCAACTCCGAAGGCGGGGGAGGAGGACGGAACGGAAGGAACCGTAACTCCAACACCAACCACCCCGCCGCCTTCTCTCCCTCGCCCGGCCCCGTTAAACAACTGCGAGAGGAGGCAGGCAGGCAGGCGCGGCCAAGGCGGGCGAGCAGGTTCGCGGTGGGAAGCCCAGCACCAAGTCCCGTGGGCAACCAACCCTCCACTTGTTTCTCTGCCACCACCCCCGCCACCCCCACCCCGCTTTGGACGTTTGCCCCGTTTCAGCCCCGTCCTTCCAAGCTCCACAGCCAAGCGTTTTTAATGGCTCGGCTGTTTGGCCCTCCCCTCACCCTTCCCTCACGGGGTGACTAATCATCGCCACAAGCCGGCTACTTTCCTCCCTCTTCGAATCTCCAGAGTTGATCAGCCTACGAGCCTCCTTCGCTCCGCTCCTTAACTCTCCACAGAACCCGCAGCGAAAGGGACGAGCGAATAAGAAGAGCGGCGGCGGCAGCAAATCCCCCACTCCCGGAGAAGAAGCAGCATCCATCCACTCCCCACCCCTGCGCCGCATCAAACCCGAGGGGATCCCCCCCCCCCCTCCCCCCCCCCCCCCCCACGCACACACCAGGCGAAGCAGCTTTGCCGTCCCGAAGTCTCCCTCCCGCCGGAGCTTGGCTACTCCGCCTCCCAGCTCCGATTGTGCCCACCGGGACTCCGACGCGCTTCCAGGGCCGCCCTTCTGGCGGAGCCGGAGGAGGAAGAGCCCGGTACCCTCTCGCCTTTCCGTTCCTCTCAGAGTCCCCCACCGCTCCGGGAGTGGGGAAGGCGCCAGAGAAAGGGATGCTGAGCGGGAAGCGAGGAAGAAGGAAGCAGCGGGAAGCCTAAAAGCGCCGGCAGAAATCCGGAGGGGCTCTTGAAAGCGGCCGGAGCGCGAGTCCCTCCCCGAAGCAGCCTCGCTTCGGGTTCTGGCCAAGAGAGCCGAGAGTTCCGGGAGGGTCCCGCCCGCCCGCCCTGAGGTGGTCCCCGGTCCCGGCCGGCTTGCAGAGCGCGGACCCGGCTGCCCGAGCTCGGCGCGATCTCCCCCCCCCCCCCCCCACGCCGCCGCCCACCTCCCTCTCCAAGGTGTTGGGACCACGGCGGCCGATCCCCTCCCCTCCCCGCCAGGTGCCCGTCCGCCTTCGCTGCGCCGAGCTTCCCAGCGCCAGGAAAGCGGGGCTCCCGCCTTGCGCCCTGCCGCCCGCTCCATGGCGAGGGCAGCACCGGCTGAGTCTCCGCGCCGGGGGAGGCGGCGCCGGCGGGGGAAGCCCGGCGTCCTCTCTCCCCCGCTGCCACTGCCGCTGCTGTGATGGTTGTAGCGCCGGCGTCCCGGGCGGCGAGGCGGGAGGGCGGCGCGGCGGCGGCGCCAGCATGAAGTCGCTGATCTTGAGCCGCTTCTTGGTGCTGCTGCCTTGGGTGCTGCTGGTCATCCTCATGCTGGACACGGACGGCGGGAACCGGCCGCCCCGTCCGTCGTCGCCTCATCTCGCCCGGCGGCCGCAGCCCGCGCTTCTTCGCCAGGAGGCGCCTCGGTGGCGGGGGGAGGCCGAGCTGCAGCAGTTGCCCCTCATCTATGCCATCACGCCGACCTACAGCCGGCCGGTCCAGAAAGCGGAGCTGACGCGGCTGGCCAACACCTTCCGGCAGGTGGCGCGCTTGCATTGGATCCTGGTGGAGGACTCGGCGATCGGCACCGAACTGGTCAGCCGCTTCGCCGCGGGGCTCGGCCGAGCGGGCGGCCCGCCCTGCACCCACCTCCACGTGCTGACGCCGCGCAGGTACAAGCGGCCGGGGCAACCCAGGGCCACGGAGCAGCGCAACGCGGGGTTGGCCTGGATCCGCCAGAGGCACCAGCATTTGCCGGCCTCCCAGCCGGGGGTGCTTTTCTTCGCCGACGACGACAACACCTACAGCCTGGAGCTCTTCGAGGAGGTAAAGGAAGCGGGGGAAGGCGAGAGACGGTCCCCCGGTCGAGCAAGGGCGGCCGCCTTGGCGTGCCCACTTCACCCGGCCTCGCTCCGTTAGGAGACCCCCGGAGCTTCCTCCCAGCTTCGGAGCCTTTCGCTCGCCCCGGAGAAACTCCGCGCTGGCCGGCCAAAACACGCTTTCGCCCTTCAAGTTGCCTCTTTCTGCCAGCGCTTCCGCGGCTTTAAACCCCGCGTGGTTTTTCTCTCGTCCCGCCAGACCTTCTCCACCCGGGGCTGCTGGCGGGGTTGTGGGGTCAGATAGATCGTTTCAGGCTTTCCTTAAGCGACCAAGTGAGATCCGCGCATTCTCTTGTGCTCCAACCCCTTTGAACCAGACCGTAGGCGTAAAACTTAATTTCAGTGCCTGTGTTGTGAGGTGAAAAAAACATGGGGATAGTTTTTAAATTATTTACAAAGCCTCTAGCAAAGAT